TGCCCTAAGAACTTTCATGCGGCTTCTGTCATAACTATTAAATCCATTTATTAGAAGGTATGTTGTTATGTATTTTGACGACATTTTGGTCTATAGCAAATATAAGGATGCCTGCAGTAGATCTTAGAAGTTTAGCAGATAATAAATTGGTGGTCAACTTTAAGAAATGCTCCTATTTGATAACTCAAGTTCAGCTTTTGGGCTTTATTATTAGTAGTGGGAAACAATAAAAAGGTTCGTTGCATGCAAGATTGGCCAACTACATCGAACATCCTTGAGGTGCGTAGCTTTCACGGATTGGCAACCTTCTACCAGCATCCATTCGCAAGTTCAGCACCATTGCAATGCCAATTACTAATTGCTTAAAAAAGGGAAGTTCGCTGGGGATGATGAATAGGAAAGCCAATTTCAGGATCTTGAAATACAAGCTCAGCATTGCTCCCATCCTAACTTAGCAAAACTTTGTCGAATGTGTTTTCTAAAATAAAATAAATGTGTGCATGATAGGGATTGGAGCTATCCTAGGCCAAAAAGGCCGGCCGATAAAGTACCATAGCGAAAACGTAGTGATGCCAACAAAAGTGAATGACCAACAGAGTTTTGCAACATTGAAAAACATACCAAACATATCAATAATTTATTTTGCATAGCAACCACCAAGCTCTTTACTACATCAATTCCCTAAAAAACCTGTCTTGAATGCATGCTGGACAGCACTCTTTGCCCAAATATTTACATTCCATTTAAGCATAGATCTGAACACTTTAATGGAGAAGCTGATGCATTAAACCATAAGGCCACACTTCTTATCACGCTAAAAATTGAGCTGGTTGAGTTCAAGCATGTCAAGCATTTATATGCCTTGGATGGAGGCTTCGCCACTGCGTGGTGGGACAAAAGCTTGATTTTGTTGTTGTTGTTATTGTTGTTGTTGGATGGAGCTACGCCTTGCAAAAAGCATAGGAACGTTGGTGACTTTCACATTCAACAGGTATTTTTGTTCAAGGGTAACCACTCTAAACTCCAAAAACCTTTTTGCGTAATTCATGGTCATGACAACAACGACCATAGATATTGAGAGATTTTGTTGACCTAGGCTCGTACAAGATGCCACCAAATTCGTATAAAGGTACAGTATTTGTCTAGCTTCAAAAAGAGGATAGAGAAAGGGGGGCCACATAGAGACTTTTCTTATGTTGAATAACATTTAGGAAGATATAAGCATAAAATTTCATCCTAGGGGTTACCCATGACATGACCAACCAAAAAAATACTCAATATTTGTTGTTGTTGATCGCTTCTCAAAAATGATGCATTTTATTCCTCGAAAAAAGCCCGTTGATGTCATAAATATTGTGATGGGGGATGTGGAGTGAACCTTTGAATTGTATAAAAATCTAGGACTCTATTAGACCTAAACAATGCTTAATTTCTCTTTGATATAAATAATAATAAACCTCACTTAATATACGCAAGTATACGAGCCAAATCAAATAATAAAGTGATAGAGTAGAATGTCAAACCTACGAGGAATAATGCATACGTGCAACAAATTACTATTGTTTACTCTAGTTGCAATAGTTATCCTACTTTAAAAATATATATTTTTGGAGATTCTATCACTGAATAAATAGTAAAATATTTGATACAATATTTAATTAAAATGGTTTGAATTGATGAGTGTAACTTGTGTATATTTCCTAATGATACTCTTCAAGGTAATGTGATTCAGAGCATAAGCATCCCTAAATCTTTGTCGAGCTTGTAGGGTGAAAATGATATTTGCTGACCTCCTACAATTATAATATCTCTTTAAGAACGTAGAACGTTTGGCATCCTATGTCTAGGCATCCAAATATTATATCTCAATATTTCTGGTTGTTCTTATATTCCTCTGTTGAGACTATACATCACACTATATTTTAACTACATATATGACAACTATGTGCATTAAATAAAGAGCATGATAATATTGAAAACATCTTTTAACAGTTATAGAACAAGAGTCTTCATTAGTACTTAACATACACTTTATATCATCAATCCAAAATAAGATAATTAGCCAGACATAGAATGACTAACTAGCAAACTCATTTTTATTAAACTCAAGAAAGAATAAAAAATGCAAGAGAGTAATATCACCAAAAAAGATCAAAGTATCTCCTCTACACTTCTTCACCCTTTAACTTATGAGGCCGATGATTTTGCTGAAGTAACCTAGCTGCAACAAACAATCAAACAAAACTAGCAAGACTCCAATGATTCACCTCAAAAAACGACGCTATCCTTCGAGCACCTACCACAAGTTGCGAGATAAAAAAAATGGTCCATTTTCGATCAAAAGGAAAATAAATGAAAACACTAACATTGCTAATCTGCTAGAGAGCATATTGAAGATTCTCAAATACTTTTAATGTCAAAGATGTCGATGAATATTTCCCCCAAGATGCAACCAATGTCAATGAAGACATGAGCTTTTCTAAAAATGGGAATGATGCAGCAGCACTTGTGAACAAGCCTGTGCCCGCCCAACCTAGTATATTAGTTTGCTTAATGAGTTGTTGTTATTTTTTTATGAATTTTACTATTCTAGTTGTTATACCACTTTTTCCCTACCAAGAGTTAAAATTGCACAAGTAGATATTGCGACATTTTTCATCCGTGAGATGGGGCGTAACCTCAAGGCATTTTGAGGCATAACCCTAAGAATCAAAAAAAAATTGTAAAGTTAAAATAGAAATAAAAATTACTATATTAGCATCATAACCAACTAATATATTAACAATCTAATGACAAATTGCATAAATTATGTGTAAAGAAAAAAATCAATATGTCAAAGTAATATAAGATATCAAAAATCAGATAGAAGTAGCATAATATATGAAATCAAAGTTATACTATGAGGAATGGATAGGACAAACTCTCAATCTCAATTTGCTAGCATGTGTGCATCTTAGGATGTTAGGTAGACAGTATTTCTACTAAAAAATTCTAAAGCTTGAGGTGGGCAAGGCGCACCTAAGAATATGTGAGACGTACGCCTCACATAATCCACATGAGGCGTATGCCTCAAAGCATTTTTTTATTCTTATTGCATTGAGGCATGTCTCGTATTGTGCAATTTTAAACAAAACTCTTCACCATCTTTTTATTCCTATAGTTTGGACTTTGTCCTTGTCGCAAAGTTGGTTATCATGGGGAATATTTGTGTTGGGGTATGGAAAGGGAATGTATAGACAATTTTTTCTTCCTGCATTTTATGAGTTGAAGATCCTTAGAAGTCCCATAGAGGAAAAATACTTCTTCAATCCGCTTCATTTCTCTACTCCTTTTCTTTAGATTATTATATGCTATATACATATGAATATATGCATAAGTAAGTATGTGTGTGTGTATATTTGTGAAAAATACACATATTTGTGGATGTATCTCCTATATCAAGTTGATTTTGAATTGAGTCAAACTAATTTTGAACAAATTTACACTATGGTTAATCAATTGGACTGAGATTTTGATCTAATATAATTGTATTTTCAACTTTAAGCACCAATTGAAATACCGTCAACATTAAAGTATGCCTCAAGTGAGAAATCTCATAATTTTTTGTGTTCCCTTATAAGTTGATTAAGCATCTTGTAAAATGAATTTCAGTTGGGCATGCTACGTCACGTAACCACCTAATGAGAGGTATTTATATGATCAAACCTATTGATTATTCTCTAAGCATACTTAGTTTTTCATGTACCTAATTTCCTAAAATTGAAAGTATCTCAACAACAAAATCTAATTTTCCTTTACATGATACATAGACCATTCATTTGAAATAATTGAATCAAGTGAAACAAGAAAAAACAAAAAACTTAATGAAATATCATATAGAAAAGCATGACTAGTTTGAGACCAACTATAGTCTTTTTGATCTTGCAATATCTACCTTAAGGTTGAAAACATTGTACATTCAACCTAGCATTCACTCCAATCAATTGAACTATACTACCCCTCAAAATAAATAATGAAGTTTATTCAGTAATTTTAGTTGTGTTTCAAATTTTGGTCATAATCATATACCATTCCTTTACCCATTATCTCCGAGGACTAATAACAAACATTTACAACTTGAGGTGACCATGAAACTTTCGACAAACAGAGAAAGAGTAGTTGTAAAAGTATGAAGACTAGATAGAAAGATTAGAGCATTTATGGAGTAAAAAACAGTAAAAACAAAATTTAGGAAGGATAACAAAGAAATTAGGTTGCATCTTAAATGAGATGCTATAATCCGTGGGAAAAAATAAGCAAGTAAATGGTTGACCATACCCTTTTTCATGGGAACAGATGTTCGTAAGAAATTCATAAAAAAGACTTCAAGTAGTTGAAAGTGTTGAAACAAATCAAGAGAATAATCTCAAGGGACAACAACAAAATCTACATCAAAAAAATGAAAACAAAACAGAGGAATGTATAGATTCAATGCCCAGATGCATCTTTTGTCAATGGCAAACAACTTCATTTATAATCCGGAAAATTCCAGAATCCTTCTCAAAATCTTTGCTATTTGCCTTGTTCAGTTTCCAAATTCCAAACATGTGCTCTACTTCACTAGCTTTCACCAAATAAAACTGATTCACTCGGACACACAAAATAATATTAAAACTCCGTTGAGAGGTCCCTGAGCGATTTTTAAGAACATTAACTCAGTTTTAATAGTATTACCAACATAAACACGTAATTTCTTCGCTCTGGCTAATCAAAATAAGCAAATGGTAAAAAGGCGCCACAGAATTTATCCCAGTTGCCTCCATCTGAATGCAATCAAAGCTAGAGATGAGGTGTTGATCCGAAAACAGGCATACAAGCATGGAGATGGAAATATGCAAAACATTGCAATTCATAGATTCGAAAATAAAAGAAATTCGCCAACTTGTAAGCTTGATTTAGTAAGCAATAAACAATCGCTTATAACGGTGAAAGCCGAAAGGAAGATGCGGTGAAAAAGAAACCTGCACCGATGACGATGATGATTTTCCCGACGGCCATGGCTGAACGCAAAACCCTAGAGAACCTCAGATGGTCCGATTGGCATTCTTAGCACCATTCTCCTCGTGGTTGGATACGCATCAAGACCTAAAACTCCCTATGGGCTGTTTGGTATGGGATTTATCGTGGGATTTAAGTCAGATTTACGCTAAATCCAGCCAAACGGTTTTTGTGCGCGCGTTAAATCCCGGGATTTCATAAATCCCGAAGGATTTAATAAATCCCTCGGTTCGGTGGATTTAATGGGATTTAGCTGAAGAAGCGCGCGAAAGGGTGAAAGTTACCTTCTCAGCCAGCGAGCTACCGACAAGGAGCGAAGTCGAATAGCCACGAAGGAGCCGAAGAAGCGACGCGTGCAATCTAAACACCTCAAAGCAACGAAGCCGAACAGCAACGACGAAAAGAGAAGATGAAAGGCAAACCCTAGACGCCTCTAAGTTATTAATTATTATTGATTAACTTAATTAATATAATGTAAATTATTAATAATTAAGTAATTAATTAAATATTTAATTATCCACGAAGGAGCCGAAGAAGCGACGCGTGCAATCTAAACACCTCAAAGCAACGAAGCCGAACAGCAACGACGAAAAGAGAAGATGAAAGGCAAACCCTAGACGCCTCTAAGTTATTAATTATTATTGATTAACTTAATTAATATAATGTAAATTATTAATAATTAAGTAATTAATTAAATATTTAATTATATAATTAGTGCATAGATTAATTATCTAATTTAACTTAATCATAAAATTATTAATTAAATATTAATACAATTATCTTAATTAATATAACTTAAAATATATATTATTAAATATATAATCAATAGTGTAAATAATAATTAACGAATAATTTGTATTTAACATGTTATTACTTTTTTATTAATTATGACTAGAAAGTCATCGCAGGAGCAAAGTCGAACAACCACGAAGGAGTCGCAGAAGCGACGGGTGCAATCTATACATCTGCAAAGCAACGAAGCCGAAGAGCAACGACGAAAAGAGAAGATGAAAGGAAAACCATAGAAGCCTCTAAAAGTTATTATTGATTAACTTAATTAATATAATTTAAATTATTAATAATTAAGTAAATTAATT